TTGCATGTACACACACACACACACACACACACACACACACACACACACACACACACACACACGTGCTGTGTTTCCAAAAAGAGTCAGGGTTCATGGTTCATGCTTCTTTCTGAAGCACCGACTCTTCAGTAAATGCTTTTGAAGCTGTGTTTCGATCAAGGTCCCTGAGCGCGAGCGCTGGGTATCCTGTCTCTGTTGAGCTGTCTGAGGACAGAAGTTCCCAACACTCTTGTGTATGTATGCACGCATGGGCACTAAGCAAATTTGGTAAAGCCAAGGGAATACTGTCACCTTATAAGTAAAATGAAAATAAATTGCATTTTAACAGTCCATTAAAAAGTCCCAGTTGCAGATTCTGGACTGTAGTTGTCACCTGTCATTTCATTGAATCCCAGATAGATTTTTCAGTATAAAATAAGGACAACTAAACATTTGTGTAGTTTCAGCATGTACTATGTGAAAGGCGGGCACACTCTTTTCTTAAGGTCATGTTAAAAAAGAAATTGAGAGGAATTAATTGTGGGGAATGTCAGTTTGTATTTGGTGTGCAGGTTGCCGTAGGGTTTTATGATGATTTGTTTGAGGCAAAATAGCTAATATATGAAACAGCTGGAGAATTGTCTTGCTATTCCTTTTGCATATTACAAGATTAATTGTGGTGGACATTGAAGTTGGCAGTCCTGGTAATCTGAGACCCTAGGAAGGCGATAGGTACCTTGGGTCTTTGGTTTAGCTGCTTCTTGCTCTCCCAGTCTATCCTTTGCTAATTGTGCCAAGGTAGGTATGTAAGAGGCTTCAGAGGGAAGCCAAATGACTTTCCTTCAGGATTCCCTCATTGAGTTTAAAGTGGCCTCAGTGGACACATGCCCATTAAACTACCTTCAGCCTTCACTGCAGGCAGCACAGTGAACAGACAGCCTTTGCACAGCATTTGGGCTACACCAGCTAATTTCTTAGCATGGACAACAAAGGCCTGGAGTTCAGTTCCCACTATCCAGAGAACATAAAACAAAGCAAAGCATGCTTTAGCTTGTGCCTAAAGGTAAATCTTGTTAAACATGTTCAGTAAAAGGTTGGGCATGGTGGCACACGCCTGTACCCCCAACACCTCTGATACATAGGCAGGATTGTGAGTTTGAGGCAAGCCTGGGCTACATGCTAAGAGCCTTTCTCCAACACAAACAAACTTCCACAAGGACAAGCCTAAGTTTCAATGTTTACAAACAACTGACCCAGGCTGAGATGTGCCCTGGGAATCTTTGATTGCGTGCATGAGGCCCATGGTCCTATTCATAGCATCACAAATGTGGACAAATGAGACGCTTGGCTCATTTGATGGGGACTGGTCACAGTGATTCACAGTGCATGTTTGATCACATATTATGTTGGGACAGCATGGACTGGGGGGTGGTTCTGGTAGTATGTTGTGCTCAGCATTGTGCTCATTCAACATGAAAACCTTGAGTTACAGAGTGTCAGCTTGCAGTGTGCAGCAGGTTCAGACTTGTGTGGAGCAGGAACCTGCCAGCTGTCATAGCGCAGCCTTCTGGCTGTGCCCTCCCATGCTGAAGGTGTCACACTGGAGATGGGCAGGGGAGGAAGCTGGCTTTTCTTTGTAAAAGCCGCTTTTGGAACCTATCCCACCCTTCAAGGCCTGACCTACCCCTGAGAGGTAAAACCCCAGTGACCCACTCCCATGCCCCCAGGCTTCACCTCTTCCAAAGTCCTGTGACCCTCTGTGAACCAAGTCTCTATCCTGTGGACCATTAGATGACAAATGATATTCAGACGCTGCCTGCCCCTCTGCCTCTTTCTCTTCCTCTCTCCTCTGACCCTCTGCCTGCTTCCCCTCCTCGTTCCATCCCTGACCCTCTCCCTCTATCTTTCTCCCTTCCCTCTGGTGAGGAAGTAGAGATGCTAAGCCCTGTGCAGGACAGTGAGTTCCAGCCACAGCTTCCCTGCAGTCCGTCCAGTCTGCCTTACTCAGGCCCACTTGGGTAGCCGTTGGTCAGAGTGGACATCGCACAGTGGTGTCCGTGCCCCTCAGACAGGCTGCCACTCTTTCCCCAGAGGGCTGTCTTGCAAGATTAGATTCCTCCAGAGATAAACTTGGCCATCCAAGTCCTGCTCCTCTCACACCAGGAGGGTAGGGACTTGTCACTCTGTGGTGACATTTCTTCATGCTTTATTCGAAGATTGGGGTGGTTGCTTTTTAACCCAGCTGAGTCAGCAGACATATGAGAGAAAGGGATGGCACCGTGTGTCTCTAAGGCATCCTCCAGACAGACAGACAGACAGACATAGAGACTCACACACACATGCACACCACCCACACCTGTGATGAACATGGCACCAGGTGTGATAGGTGCCTTTCTGCACAACCCAGGCACTTGAAGGAGGTGAGGATTTGGCTATGGGTGATTCTGCCTTCAGGATGCCTTTAGAAAACCAGCACATAATAAATACAAATACAAAGTAGCAAACTCACTTGTGATCACTGCTGGGTCAGGCATCGGGCAGGCACAGGGTGCTTGGGAAAGAGGAAGGGATCGGAGAGTGTCACAGAGGTGACATAGCAGTTAGGATCCAGCTAGATGAAGAGGTCAGAAGAGGTAACCACTGTGGTGCTCACACAGCAGGGCTGTGCAGGTCCTGAGGGCAGATGGGAAAAGGGAGAAAAGGAAGCTGGGAGGAGCCCCAGGGTCCAGATGTGAAAAGCCGAGAGTGTAACACTAAGGAATTTGATTTTGTCACGTTCAGTGCTACCCACTGGAGGGAGGTAGAGGCAGAAGGCTTGGAAGTTCAAGGCCAGCCCAGGCTACATGAGACCCTGCCCTAAAATTTCTTTATGAGGTTCTTAGGAAGGGTCATTTCTTTGTTGCTTATCTTCCTCGCCTCTCTTCCCCCGTGTGAGGCTGTGCATCAGAACTGCCTTCCTAACACTTCTTCCAGGCGTTTCATCCAGATCTTCAAAGCTCTCTCTCTTCTCTCTTCTCCCATTAAGTCTTGCAGTTTTCAAAGTTAAAAACTGTTTCCTGTTGGAGAGATGGCTCAGCAGTTAAGAGCACTGGCTGCTCTTCCAGAGGTCCTGAGTTCAATTCCCAGCAACCACATGGTGGCTCACAACCATCCATAATCCATCAGGTGCCCTCTTCTGCCCTGCTGACAGAACACTGTATACATAATAAATAAATAAATAAATAAATAAATAAATAAATCTTAAAAACAAATCTTAAAAAAAACCTGTTTCCTAAAACCTGTAACGAGGGTGACAAAACAAATCACACATCACAGCACTGTTTGCAGCGGGAATGCGGTAGGACACTCCCTCCAGTTCTGTTCCCTGCCAGCTGGCTACAGGAGTCACCATGGCCGAGTAGCATTCAGGCCCCTAAAAGCATTCCGGAGATTTAGTTACAGACACAGAAACACCGACGTCATGTGAATTAGCTAGTAATGGGACAAAGGATATGATCATGTGTTTGCCAATTCAGTTCCTTGTCTCTTACGGAAGATCCATAGGTGCGAGCTGGGAGGGAAAGGCTCCAGAGTGTTAGTAGAGAGTGGGGGTGGGGGGGCGGCATGGGGAAGAGAGGGGATGGCATTGAGGATTTAAGTTTCTTCCACACTCCTTCTATATTAAACACTTAAAATGACAAGGTGTCGACCCATGTGAAAATAAACACCACGCAGGCAAATATTCCTAAGATTGGACTCTTCACATCCTCTGAAGTGTCTTAGTGATTTTTTATTCATTGTAATTTCACTGTATCTTGGTCCCCAAACTTAGCAGCCTCTGAGAAAAACAAAACATGCTTGGAGAGGAATCTCCTGCTCTTAGTCACCAGGGTGTGTGGTTGCTGAGTCCTACAGTACCTCTCCGACTGTGGATTATTCACGTGATTATTTTCAAGGTTTAGACATTAAAAAATATTACTTTATGTGTATGGGTATTTTGTCTGCCTGTATTATTGTGCATCACATGTGTGCCTGATGCCAACAGGGGTCAGAGAGGCTGTTGGGTCCCCTGAAACGAGTTATGGATGGTTGTGAGCCACCGTGCGGGTGCTAGCTAGATCCTCTGGAAGAGTAGCTAGTTCAGCTAACTTTGGAGCCATCACTCCGGTCCCTATTTTCAAGACCTTTGCTTCTTAGTGTAGAGACCACCAACTCCTAAGAGGAGACCTACAAGGACAAGTGCCAATGAGAAGAGAGCTGGCCGCCTAAGGTACTTGGAGGAGATATTCACCTATGTCCTTCAAACCTTAAGGTGACCTTCATTATCCCTGGGGGCTCACTGTGGTGCCCCATCGTGCACGATACACAGTTTGAGAACCACAGCCATAAAATCCATAGTAGGCGTGGCCTCAAAGCAAAGTGCCCTCCACAGCCCTTCTCTTTTTCCCTCCCCAGCCCTGTGAATCAGAACTATATGGGTGCACGTACATATGGATGTCTGGGCATTTATGCGCTTGCCTCTTGCCTTGCTCTCTGCCAGCGCAGCAGGACACTGGGTTATCCTGTGGCTAGCCTCCTCACTCATCTTTTGAAGGTGTATTTGAAGCTAGTCTTTCAACTTCAAAGCACTTGAAAATGTTCTGCCTGGCAGGCTTGCCTCAGTGGGAGCCAGAACCTCCTCTTCAGTTCTGGTGGACACAGGTCCCTTATGTAATGCTGTCTCTCACCCAACAACAATGGCTCCGAACCAGGGTCTTTTACAGGTAACAGCCATGAGAACACTTTTGGTATTTTTTTTCTCTTCCCAGTATGGACGCACTCCTCTCCACCTTGCAGCCAACAACGGGATCCTGGATGTGGTCCGCTACCTCTGTCTGATGGGTGCCAATGTGGAGGCTCTGACCTCGGTGAGTACCAGGCAGGTGCAGGTGTTTGGCTGCAGAGAACCATGGAAACTTCTCATGCCTCAAGGGCACGGGGAGAGAGGCATTGCCTGGCAACTGCATTCTAAAGCAGACAGGCTGCTGTTAAGCTTTAACCCTCCTCTGCAGTCACACAAACATTTGCCCACACAGACCCAGTTTAATGTCTAGTTAATGTTTCATCCTTGTCTCACCTCGCCCGCCCCGCTCCTCCAGCGACCCACTGGTTCGCACTGGCCTTTTGTTTACCCGTGTTACACAACAGTGCCGCTTAGCTCTCTGTTCCATGTATGGATTTCTCTTTCATAAGTGCTTCCCGTTGGCTCCAGGGCACAAGCCGCCCAGTGCCCTGTAGGAGGAGCTGAATCCCCCCGAGTGGCTGTGGGGGTCATGAGCAGTCAAGAGGCAAAGGGCTGGTTCTACTGCTTAGCATCTGCCTTTGCTGCTGGGCCTGAAAACAACTTTTAAGTAAGATGCAATCCATTTTTCTCACTTGTCATTCAGGCTTAGTATCTCAACAGCAGAAGAGAGACCCTTTGCTCCATATTTCATACCAGAGATAAGAGTTTGGCCAACAGGATGAGTTGGCAGTTCAGTTGCGGCCATGAAGTATTGTTTGAGTTGTTGCTGGCATGACAGTTGACTGCTAGTGTGAAAGGTCTTGACAGTCAGTTGTGAAGGTGATCACGTGGTATTTGATGTGGCAGCCCACTGGAGGCCCTGAGGCAGGAAGTACAACTTTGGTTCTTGGAGATCTTCAAGGTCTAAACACACAGAGCCAAATCCAGCCTGCTGCTTGGTTTTGTAAATGAAGTCCCCCTGTATGTAGCACAGCCACTCTCATTTGCTTACTTGTTGTCTCTGTCTGTGGCTGTTGCAGAGCCCCCAAACATCTGGCATGATCCCCAGAGGGCCTGTGGGCTGGTCTGTGTGTAGGTCTTTTTGGTACCACCCACTCTCAAGATGTAGCAGTTGTGTTCTGTACAGTATTGGGCGCTCTGCAGGTGTAGACGTTAACAGTGCTCTGCATGGAAGGGGCACGCTGCTCAGGGCACTTGTTTACTCCTGCCCTGAGTGCAAGGTCCTGCACCACCTGTGTGCCAAGTCTTTACCCACGGGGCAGTTATCTTGCAGTAAAGTGTCACGTGCATTTTTAAGAGGAAAAATATTTCTCTGTCTCAGATGATGCCTCATAGGGAAAATAAAAAACAAGAGTGACTTTGAAATCCTATCAGATGATGGGGCCAGAAATGTGTGTGGCCTCTCCTCTTTTCCTGTTCCCTAGTGAGCTCATGGACCTCCCCTGTAGTGTCTGTCTCCTCTGTTCCCCCACCACTGCTCTGCTCCTGCCACTTTCTTCTCTGGTCCCTACCTCTTCCAGCTTCTAGAAGGGCTCTTCGGGGTTTTCTATCCACATTGTATAGTTCCTTGCTTAGCCTTGCCATTTACTCAGACATATCATACAGAGAGGATCTTCTAGAAAATGAGAAAGAGAGGTGCTGACAAAAGAATCTTAACAGTCAGTCTGGAGTCACTGAGTGATGATAGACAACAATTGGGTCCTGGGAAATTGGTGGATCTCCCTCTGCAGGAGCTGGTACATGGAGTATGGTCACTGAGTAGTCCGGAAGTCATCAGAGGCTCAGGAAAAGCGCCAAATACAAAGGCCTGAGCTTGGTGGCCACCTGCTCCTGTGAGAATTCCAGGGACCATGTTGGAGACCCTCCCATGGCATCTGGAGATCTAGCCAGGAGAAGGCGGGACTCCTCTTCTTAGAACAGCAATGACTTTGTGAGAAGGGTGGGGTGACCATCGACAAATGCAAAGCCCAGACTGTGTCTATCGTTTCATATTTTCTAGCAGCGACATTAAAGGCGAAACGGATGCAAAATTTCAGTAGTACATTCAAAGTATTTCAACAGGAGTATTTTGAGATTATTAGTATCTTCCGTATTCTCTCATCTGTACCAAGTCTTCAGTGCCTTATGTGCTCTGCGCTGACATCCATTTTTTCCTGGGCCACATTTCTGACCTGTGACTGGGGCTGTTGCCATGTGGGACAACCAGAGCTGTAACTTTCTCTGGCTCCTTCTGAGAAGCTCCACAGCGCCGTCTAGTGTCACGTTTATTCTCCTAGTCTGATCTCTACTGGGGATGATTTCCTATACTTCCTTCTGCCTCCCACTCACCTCTGGCTTGTCTTCCTCCACCACTGACTCAGCAGAGGCCACAGTCCCTCTGGGAAGTTGCTTCTTTTAATATAAACCAAGACAAAGATTACTAAAGAAGTGACTGGATGTCATGGTGCACACCTTTGATGCCAGGACTTGAGAGTCGGAGGAAGGCAAATCTTTGAGTTCAAGGCCAGCCTGGCCTTAATACAAAGTTCCAGGCCAGCCGGAGCTATGTCGTAAAACCCAGTCTCAAAAGTAAAATGAAATAGTATGCGATCAAAACGATCCAAGTGTGGTAAGTGGTTTACAGGACTTTTGTAGATCCGCCTGGGCCGTGACATAACCAAGGGCCACCCCAGGAGCCAATTGCTTGACTCCGTGATGCCTCCTCTCTCTGGATGTAACCCCCTCTGAGTCGGTCTCTTCCTCCCATTGCCTTCTCCTCCCGCTCAGCAAGTACCAGTGGCTCCTGTTAATCCTGCTTCTTAGTCCTGACATCTTAGACATACCCCTGCCTCCCTGCACTGGCATCTCCTCTGCTTCTGCCCGTACGTGGCTCTTTCCCCTGTTCCTTGCTGGACACCTGCTGTCCAGCCTTCCTTGTCTTCTCTCTGGGGCCCAGGCCTGCAGCTTCGCTTGAACACCCAGGGCCACCTCCGTGTCTGTGAGTGGACCTGCATGTCCTCAGAGCTCAGCCCGGGATGTCACCTTGGAGAGTCCAAGGCAGCCACGCCCTGCTCCTCTTCCTTGATGCTTACTCTTGATGAAGGCATTCCATGCACATAGACAGTTTGACCGGAACTCCTGGTTGGGGGTGCAGTGTCCAATAAGGAGCCCAGCTGAGCAGAGGAGAAGGCCTGTCCTTCCTGTTTGGATTCATCTCGGGACTTTAGGGACACAGTAAGAACTGGGTGATCCTGACTTTGCAGCACCCCTCTGTGGAACATATGCCTGAGCTGTACCCTCAGGCAGGAGTGAACATTCATTCTCAGCCTGGCAGTTTTGTCCCCAGGAGACACTTGGAATTATCTGAAGGATTGTTATTGGTGCCTCATTAGATGGCAGACCGTTATTAACTACTGTATAAGGCAGAATATGGTTGTTCACAGCAGAGAATTGCGTAGTCCAGTAGAACTGAGATTAAGAATTGCTGGTCTAGAGGGACCCCATGTGTATCTCAAGAGCAACTTGAGCTGAAGAGTTGTGAGGTTGGCAGGTAGACAGACTCTGGGTGCCCCAAGCTTCCACAGGATGGCTAACCTCAATATTGCTGATAATGAAGCCATAGACTTATTTTTCTTCTACTGAAAAGGTGTCTTCATTTGTTTGAAAATTGCTTTTAGGGCTGAATAAAACTCAGCTGAAAAGTTGTGTTCACCTCTCTTGGTGTAGATAGGGTACAGCCACAGCTCCTGTCCCTCTGGGGGACTGTGAGGTCACACTTGCTTTACCGTGAACCAGAAAGTAGTCAGTAGATGTTCGCACCCACAGTATACAATAAATCCCTTCATATGAAACCACGGCTTCGTAAAAAGTCTTGTGAGGTCACACTTGCTTTACCGTGAACCAGAAAGTAGTCAGTAGATGTTTGCACCCACAGTATACAATAAATCCCTTCATATGAAACCACGGCTTTGTGAAAAGTCTCTTATTAAACAGCAAATGTCAAAGCACTGTGGGCTCTCAGCTCCCTGCTCAGTGTTTGTCAGCAACCTTAAACCAAAGTGTGCTAGACTAAGTGTTCTTTGGAAGTGATTACCAGCCACAGCGTTGTCTGAGGGCCAGGATTGTATGTGTTAGAACTGAAAGACAAGGGCTTACACTGAAGCAGACACTCTTGACTTCTGGGTTAGAGACAGGAGCTCAGGGCAGGGAACAATCGGCCAGAGGATGAGTGTGCTGAGTCTCAGCTCCCTGCTCAGTGTTTGTCAGCAACCTTAAACCAAAGTGTGCTAAATTAAGTGTTCTTTGGAAATGATTACCAGCCACAGCGTTGTCTGAGGGCCAGGATTGTATGTGGTAGAACTGAAAGACAAGGGCTTACACTGAAGCAGACACTCTTGACTTCTGGGTTAGAGATGGGAGCTCAGGGCAGGGAACAATAGGCCAGAGGATGAGTGTGCTGAGACTGTGGGTTGAGCATCTTTATGTTGTTACCACAGGACACTTCTGCATTCCCTGCTCTGACATCTCTCTTTCCTGGATTACCCTGGCAGGGAAGCATGCCAGGACTGGTCTTTTACCTGATTTTCTTCTAACCCTGTTGTGCCTGTTTCTTCCCCGAGCTAATGTGTTGGGGTCACGTGCAGCCCTGCTCTGCAGGGGAAAGGCACTGATCATCTGTCTCTTACAGGATGGCAAGACGGCTGAGGACCTCGCAAAGTCAGAACAGCACGAGCACGTAGCGGGGCTCCTGGCAAGACTGCGAAAGGTGAGCCTTCACCTGACGTCCTTCATTTTTCTGTGAGAAGTTCTTGGTGTTTTCCTTGTGAACATTTAGAAGGAATCACTTGGCTTAGGTTTAGTAAGATTGTCTGTCCTCGTCCAGTCAGTTGGCACACATGCCAAAGCATATGTAGGGTTTGTTCTACAGTTGACTGTAAAAAATGAATTTGGGGCTGGAGGGTGGAACTTAGTGGTAAGAGCACTGGTTGCTGTTGCAGAGGACCAGGGTTCAATTTCCAGCACCTACAGCTCACAGCCATCTGTAAGCCCCATGCCTACAGGAGTTCCAGCGTCCTCTGCTGGCCTCTGCAGGCACCAGGCAGGTGATGCACAGACAGACAGTCAGACAGACTAGTTTGATGTTCCCCATCGCTAGCTGGTTTGGTTTTCCTAACACTTTCTGTGCTAACCATCCTGTCTTAGTTAGGGTTTCTATTGTTATGAAGAGGCACTCTGACTATGGCAGTTCTTAAATAATGGAAAACATTTAACGGGCTGGCTTACGGTTTCAGAGGTTTAGTCCATTATCATCATGGCAGGCAGACATGGTGCTGGAGAGGTAGCTGAGAGTTCTGTATCTTGATCCTTAGGGAACAGGAAGTGACCTGTGTACCACACTAAGCATAGCTTGAGCAAAGGAGGCCGCAAAGCCCACCCCCCACAGTGAATCACTTCCTTCAACAAAGCCACATCTCCAAAAATAGTGCCACTCCCTGTGAGTTTATGGGGGTCAATTACATTCAAATCACCACATACCCCTACAGTGGAGGGAAGAATACTGATGATACCTCTTTTCCTCATTTTTTTTTTTTTTTAATTTCCAGGTATCAGGTAAGTTCCTGTTTATCAAATCACAGCATTGTGAAGTTCATAAAGACATAAAATAAGTAAATACAGGTGTAAGATCTTGAGCCCATTTCATGCATCAATGCTTGAGAGACTGCAAAATGCTCAAACCCTTTTGGTTAAGATATCTTTTTGTTAATAGACAAAGATGCTCATTATAGTCCTATTTAAAGTGTAGTAGCACAAATTAGACTCATCAGGTCACCTACACTAAGGCATAGCAGATTGCCATAGAGAACAGGATGGTGTTTGGCCTTCACAGATACTTATGAAGAGGTTGTAAGTACAAGGGCTTAATGCTTAGGATGTTTCTAGGCTGAAACGAAAGGATAAAAAGACAAATTGTCTGCACATCTTAACACTTACCCTAAGGCTGGGATGTAGCTCAGTTGGTAGAGATCTCACAGAACATTCAAGAAGCTCTGATTTCCATTCCTAGTGTGGAGGGTGCTGCTTTCTGGCTTGCTCCTCATGGCTTGCTCAGCCTGCTTTCTTATAGAGCCTAGGACAACAGTGGTCTGGGCCCTCCCAAATTAATCAAAAAATGCCTCACAGGCATGCCAGTTTGATGGAGGCAATTCTTCAATTGAGGGTCCCTCTTCTGAGGTGACTCTAATTTATATCAAGTTGACAAAAACGAACCAGCACAAGTGGCCCAGATTCTGGACCCAGCTCCATGAATCTCTTGCCGGATTAACCGGCCCATTGCTCACTAAATCTGTGCCTCAGCACCTGCATTGACCCCTGAGAAGAGATGCCACCTCAGATAGAATGGTAATGAGGGCCCGACTCGGTGAGGACGCGGTGAGGTTTCCTTTGTGGTTGCCCCCGGAAGAGCACCCTCAGAATGGGCTGTGGTGGCTGTGGTGGCACTGTCATTTTACATCCCGAGGGTTCCGGTGGGAAACCTGGCCTCAGAGAGATTGAGAGGGTTTCCTTTGTGGTTGCCCCCGGAAGAGCACCCTCAGAATGGGCTGTGGTTGCTGTGGTGGCACTGTCATTTTACATCCCAAGGGTTCCGGTGGGAAACCTGGCCTCAGAGAGATTGAGAGGGGTTAGTGCAAAGCCGGGGGACCCATCTTGTGTGCAGCATCTCCAATTCCTTGGTCTCTCTGTGGGCACAGGGCCCTTGCAGTATGGGGACATCACTGCGCGTCCGTACTGAGCCACCCTGCCTTGTAGCAGGCCAGATTACTTCCCAGTGTTATGAGCTGGGGTTTCCCATCCTCAGGCAGGACTTTTTTTTTTTT